ATTTTTAAAGAAATATGTTGAACGTTTTTTTAGAACTTGAAATGGACCGGGTGTGGTGTCTCATGCCTGTACACCTAGCACTTTGAGAGGCCAAGATGGGCGGATCATAAGGTCAGGAGATCGAGACCATCCTGGCTAACACGGCGAAACCCTGTCTCTACTGAAAATATAAAAGACTAGCTGGGTGTGGTGGCACATGCCTGTAGTCCCAGCTACTTGGGAGGCTGAGGCAGGAGAATCGCTTGAACCCGGGAGGTGGAGGTTGCAGTGAGCTGAGATTGCACCACTGCACTTCAGCCTGAGCGACAGAGTAAGGCTCCGTCTCAAAACAAAACAAAACAAAACAAAAACCTTCAAATGTTATCAATACTTGCTGCTCAGTAGTTTGCTCAGCTTAAGGTTTTGGTTAATGTTCTCTTACGGCCGAATTACTACCCACAGGGTGGTCCACAAATCATTATCACCACCACCTGGCAGCTTACTAAAAATTCAGACTCTCAGGCCTCTCCCCAAACCTATTGAATAAATCTGTATTTTAGCTATAGCCCAAGGTGACTAATATGCACATAAGTGTGAGAAGCAGTGGTATAACTGTACAGCACTATAGTGGTAATTTAAAAAGAAATGAGGCAGTATATAATGAGCATCCTTCTTCCTCCTTTGGGAGTAGTCCAAGAGGGAAAAATATAAGATAAAACTATAGCCATTAACATACCTTTCTGGGTTTGGCAGCTGTGAAAGACACAAAGTAATTGAAAACACAAATATACCAGACAATGATTTTAGAATTAAGCTGTTAAGAGCTTAGAATTTGATTATTTAGGGGTACAAATAATTTAATACATAGCAAGTAATGTGTTCAGTTTATCACCTTAGAAAAACTGCTTTAGGAAATAATCTGAGACTAGTACTCTAGAAGAACCCTGACAAAAGGAAAAACTACCTTAAGAATATTATTCTTTGTACCTCCAAAAGTTGTGCCTGAATAACTATAGTTGGGGACATGATCACTCAAAATTATGTATTCTAAAAGAATGAAATCTAAACATAATAAACTATGTTTTGATATTCCTACTTATTTTACTACCAACCCAAACGTTCTCATGTAGAATGCATACTTAAAAAGATAAAAATAGCTGGAACATCTTTGTGTATGCATATTTGAAGTTCTCAAATAGGAATATTTTATTCACATCAATATGCACCTTCACAATGAAAATGGTAGCTTTCAGACAACTCAATTATAAATCTGAATTGGTAGAGTACTTATTTATTCTAGTTACCATTTTCATTCATTAATACTTTTTTTTTTTGGGAAACAGAGTCTCACTGTTTTCCAGACTGGAGTACAGTGACGCTCTCTTGGCTCACTGCAATGTCTGCCTCCCAAGTTCAAGCGATTCTCCCATCTCAGCCTCTTAAGTAGCTGGGATTACAGTCACGCACCATCACGCTCGGCTAATTATTGTAGTTTTAGTAGAGACGGGATTTCGCCATGTTGGTCAGGCTGGTCTCGAACTCCTGACCTCTTGATCTACCTGCCTTAGCCTCCCGAAGTGCTGAGATTACAGAAAGAGAAATAAGAAAAAAATGTGATGCAGGGGTCAAAGCTTCCTTTAATAAATATTCTTAGCTGGGCACGGTGGCTCACTCCTGTAATCCCAGCACTTTGGGAAGCCAAGACGGGTGGATCACCTGAGGTCAGGAGTTCGAGACTAGCCTGGCCAACATGGTGAAACCTTGCCTCTACTAAAAATACAAAAATTAGCCGGGCATGGTGGCGGGCACCTGTAATCCCAGCTACTTGAGAGGCTGAGGCAGGAGAATCGCTTGAACCCAGGAGGCGGAGGTTGTGGTGAGCCGAGATTGCGCCACTGCACTCCAGCCTAGGCAAC